ACTTGTGCCTTTCAGGTGAACGACAGCACCTGACCGACAAGAACAAAAGCGACCCGGGAAACTTGGACAATGGCATCAATCCTGTGTATCAATCCGTGCACAACGCATCGGTTGCGGTTGTAAAGTAGCAAGTATACTCCGAGAGGCTTGCCCTCGCGTGTTTACGAGGATATCTATTTTGTAACTGAACATTTTTAGAAAGCAGACTACAGCAAGTTCTGGCCCTTGGAAAATGATACTCTTATCTCTTTCAAAAGGCTGAACTTCTACTTCTCTCAACCTCGACTTTTAACTTATCATGCCGTTATTCCGCCCTCGATATATCGGGCACACCCCAGATAACTCTGTCCTCTGTCCTGGTTTCAGATGCTTTTTCAGCAAACCTTTAAGGGTGACTGTCATTGCGTTGGAATTATAGCGTCAGACCATCTCATTCATTCCATGCCTCACGGAATAGCTCGCCACTGGCAAAATATTTTTAGTCTTTCGAACTTTTTTCGGGATGCTAACATTCGTTTGCCCACAATAAATTTAACGCGGCCGTCGAACCATGCTTATTTCTAGGTTACCTGCTAGTTTTCTCTTGGATCACGGACTCACTGCGGGCGACAACACGAGTGCCGCTTATGCACGTAAACGAATGCAGTTGGTTCGAAGTTCAGGTAGCATCTTGGTTGTCTGCAGTAAAGGGCCTTATTATGATAAATAAGGAGCCATGAATTGTCAATTTACTACACTTTATACACAAAACCAGGTTCCAAATAGTCCAATTACGCCCCCTTGTTTAGCGCAACATCATTCAGTAGAATTGGTTGACGTGCTTTCCTCAAGCTAATCGGCCTCTGTTACGCCTTGGAAGAAGGGTATTGTAGGCTCATTATCCGTAAGCTCATCATCTACGACCTTATTTCCCTATTAACAGGGGCGAAACAAGTGAGACATGATCGAATGGTCACTGTCCGAATAGGTACGGAACAACACAACAAGGCAGATAGTAAAACCAAAATTATATACTCGCCACGTGATACGTTATCGTAAGCTGCGGGAAACAAAAAACGAAACATTTAAGAGAATATTTGTGGGATAAACCCGGATGATCTGAAATGAAATTGTTGCAGGTAATGGGTGGCCATGGACTGCGATTGATTGGCAAAAGGCGGAAGTAGGGACGGAGTGGAGATATTCAAAGTCGGAATAAATTGGGTGTACGCTAGTGTCGCCGTTGGGCGGGACTCAAATGTAAAATATCTTTGGAAGGCAAGGCGATATTGACACATGGAACCGAACAAACACTGAAAATTTCTGAATCCAAAGACAAAACCAACTGGAGGTGCAGCGAGACGGTGGGGTGATGAAACCCTAGGATAATTTTCAGCGGATTTACTTGAAGACTTGGGGACACGTATGCAGTTTGTTCTAATTTGCCATTAGAGGTGTGAGGGGGCAACAATAACATTGGGGAGTATAAAGTAAGTAGTTGTGGTTGTATCGTCAGGTTGAATATGGCAGCACTGTATCATCATTGCGTTGAATTACTAAGACTTCTAAAAAGCATGCTTGAGGTGACCGGACAAGAAATGTGCATCTGTAGTCGGCAGAATTTATTTTAGCCGGGAGAATAAACACAGGTAGAATCAGGCCGATACAGAATCATAGATAATTTTCATCCAGCTGGAGATCGATATCTTTGTAAAAAGGAGACAGGGCCAAGCTAAGGAGGACCATATAAGGCGTTCAAAGTAGCTGCTCTCAAAGATAGGAGATTTAAAATACGAAAGAACGAGGTAAAATCACTTCAGCCTGGTGAGTTTTTGGAGGCGCCCGATAGGACGGGATTTAATTTTAGCAAAAACTGAAGTTTAGTGCTTTTAAGAGAGCGACATCCTGGCGGTTAGTTAGCTGGGCTGGAAATATACTTGTTTGGCTAATGATCGTTTTGATGAAGTTTCCAATCCCACTGCCAAGCTCCGTGAACAAACAAACAACCAAGCGGCGCACCCGAGCTACTTATGCCTGAAAATTGCCGGAAGGTTTGTGTTCAGTGACCTAGAAATGATGCCGGGCTAAGCACGACAGCAGAAGTTCACTTGGTGCAACTTATACGAATTAAATAAATATTAATGGGAATCTGCTTAGAGAGTATGGTTTTGACACAGCTAGAAATGCGAGAGGCTAGCTTTGGTGGTAAGGGCACCTTGTACTATACACTAGGCGTCGGCCGTTCAGCTGTCGTAAGGACAGGACGGTAGTGTTATGGCGAAATTTGGACAAGGTGAGTTTTGAACGGTAATAAGCAAGAAGGTCAGCTGCAGGATTGTTTGGGTGGACACTTACGCACCGATTTAGACAGTGAATTGTGGTAGCTTCTAGGTCTGTCAGCGTCACAGCATGGAACCTTTGTTGTGCGGAGGAGCGTCTAATGTGGTATGGCGCAGCAAACAGGTAATAATAATAAAGACAGAAATTCTGAGATGGTGCACACGGGACATTGTAACCGAGAGTTTTTATGCAAGCTAAATGGTGGTGCATTTCGGGATAGAACTGAAGGTGAGAGTGTGAACTTTCAGTCGTTTTTCACTGCTGTTAAATCCAGGATCGAGTGGTGCACAGCGTAAAAACAGACAGCCACCAATTGTGCATCCTAGTATTGAGGGAATTCGAAGATTCTAATGTTTTATGTGTGTTACCATCCCAGCAAGAAGGTGTATCTTAAAAGGAACGGACTTGGTGTAGTGTGAACACAGTTATGACAGAGTCCGCAACAGCTGTGCGCCATGGATTATTCGTGGAAGCCGCAGAATATCACCAGGCAACGCGGTGAAATAATTCACCGGGAGAAACAATAGTACATTTTCACCCGTACTTCTCAGCGTTTTCAGATAAACGATATAGCTGGGACATGCCTCAGCCTTCAGCTACAGACAGGACGCGGCGGTGCTTTTTAATCGAATTCGTGCAGTGGAGGCCAGTCTCAAAAGCACCACCGGCGACGCAGTCGTCCCAACAGAGTGGCAAATGGATGATAGAATATGGCAGTGACCATAAGAATTCTTCTTAGAATGGGACATGATAATGGGCTCGGCAGAGCCTTCGGCACAAAAGGGCTGGCCGAGGGTCATCTTTGACAAGTGGCACCGGAAGAACCAGTGGTGGAATCATTCTTTAAAGGAGTGCAACGTGCTCCGTCTGGAGTGCGCTAGTAGCTACAGTAGATAAGGTTTTGAGTGCGGACACGAGCTACAGGTGAAGCCGGCAGCAATATAACTGCAGGTAATTTTGTACAGAGGCGAGGGACGTGGGACAATAGGTATCTATCAAGACTGAAAGTCAAACAAATAGAGGGCACGGACGCATGAAATTTTGTCGTCTTGCTCCGGATTTATGGGGGCCGAGTGACTGACAAATTAGTTGGTGTGCTTATGATTTCAAGTTACAGGCACGTCAGTATTCATCCTGCTTGTGGGTCTCATTAAGGGGTTGATCTCTTGGGGAATCTATGTAGCCGTCGCTCGGTTGGTTATCTCAGTTAGTGTAAAGTGGAACATGGTAGTTGGTGTGACAGTGCGTGGAACTGCGGCTTAAAAAGAATTTTGTGGCATCGAAGCAAATGGATAAAGGGTTATTAAGCATATACAACGATAAATTTGGCATTATTGAGAGCGACTGGTAGTCCAACAGTGTTTATTGCGGGAATGCCTAGTTCTTTAGCAGGCTCAGTAGGTTATGGTTTGCAGCGACTGTTCGACTACTATTTTCACGCAGTGATTCGGTCTGCATGGTTATCCGATGTGCTGGTCTCGTGGAAAGCCTTGAATCGTGTCACGCCAAAGTATCCATTGGCGCAGAATGATGAAGGAGAGAGAGTCTGGCTTTCCAGACAATTCTTGGAGTAAGACAGCAACTCTTGGTAGGTTGGCTTCGTAGTTAATCTCCAGCGGGTTTGATCTACGCTGTCTAGAATTTATAGACAGAGGAGGGAAAAACTTTGAAGGCCAGAATATGTATGGCATCCTCATTGCCCATGGAGGGCAATAATGTTAAAAAAATTTATGATTATGCGTTTTGAGGCCGTGATGCTGTCGAACATGTCACACGTTATCAGGGTAGCTGTTATCGTG